AGGATAAATTTGGTCTTCTAAACCAATTGAAAAGGCAAAAGGAATATCCCCCCACCTTACAAAGTTTTACATCAAAATCCTGGATCTTCACATTTTGCAAGAAGATCTTTCATCATTTATATTGTTCATGAAGCTAAATAGATGAAGGGTTAAGATTCAACTTTTAATGAGGAACCCAGTGCAGAATGACCTCATAACACTAGTAAATTGGGGTCTGGTATAGGGCCACATTTATGGAACACTTTATACTTAAACTAACAATCATCAAGGCAATTAGCATGCTAACACGACTCTACAGGAGGTACTTTGATATTTACAAACCTTCTCTTAGTCTGATACAACTGACTGGGGAGACATGCTTACTAAACAGAAGTTGTTCTTCTTTATGTGCCATGTCCCTTGAGGATGTAGGAGATCATGGCACTCCACAATTTCCTCTCCTTCATAGCTCTTAATATTTTTTTTTGTTATTCCTCCTAAAATTTGTTCCATCATGCATTCATTCAAGCTTACTATGTATATTATGTTTAGTTTTCCTGTGTCTCTCTTGCCTCCAATCTGTCCCATGAGTGTCAGATTTTCCAATCCATCTTTCCTCATTATGTGCCCTAGAAACTTTAACTGTCTCTTCCTGATGTTAAGTATAAGTTTCCTTTTTGTTTCCATTTTCTTTAAAATTTCATTGTTACTCAGATATTCAGTCCCTGGTATTCTCAGCATCCTTCTGTAGAAACACATTTCTGTTTCTTCAAGCCTCTTCTTCATCTTTGAGAAAATTCATTGCCATATAGGAGGATAGATATCACATAACAGTTTAGTACCCTTTTCTTCGTTTCTAATGGAATTTTCTCTTAATACTCTGCTAAGCTTATGGAATGCATCTTTGGCTATCCCAATGCAACTTTGGATTTCAGTGTCACACTTCCGTCCTCTACTAAAACACTTCTCTGATATTTAAATTTTTGTACTTGTTTGATTTTGGTATCTCCAATTTGTAATTTGTATTTTGGGCTCATCTTTTTGGTAATAACCATGTGTTCTGTGTTCTTGCAATTGATGTTTAATCCTTCCTTCTCGCTTTCCTTCACTACTCCTGTAGGATATGAATGTCCTAACTAATAAAGATGTTGATCAAAAGTCTGTCCAGAAAGTTACTTTCTTTTATATTTCATTTTTTCTTTCTTCTCCTTTCTTTTTTTCTTTTTCATTTTCTTTGTTTTTGATTTTATATACTATCTTCCTTTTTCTTCTTAAATTTCCCCACCTCTCTTTCTTTTTCTGCTTTTTCTCTTTTTTCTTTCTTTCAATTTCCCAGACTCTTTTCATTCCCCTCTTTCTCCCTTTTTATTGCTTGTCTTTCTTTTACCCTACTCTTTTCTTTTCTATTTTCCTCTCTCTTTTACATCTATTCTCTTTCTTTCTTTCTTTCTTTCTTTCTTTCTTTCTTTCTTTCTTTCTTTCTTTTCCATCTACCAGTTTTCTATCTCTTTCTCTTTTACTTTCTTTTCTCTTCCTCTCCAGCATTTTCTCAACCTTTTCTTCTTGATTTACAAGTATCAACACAAACGCATCAGGACCATTTTTCAATTCAATAAAGCATGAACAAGCTATTCTCAACTGCAAGCTTTTTTCTTTTCCTAAGAGAAGTTCACAATCTTGACCTTTTCTTTAAAATCTTGCATTGATAAAATCTAAACTGTGCAATCTTACTGACAACAATAACTCTACTATAGCTGACATCATCATAAGGTCTACTGTTCAATTTCCATTAAAATTAGTCATTTTATTTCAAGATTTATTTAAAAAAAAAAAAAAAAGAGAAGAAAATACAGCCAGTTCATTTTATTTATTTTTTATCTTAAAAAAATGACCTTGTTTTTTTTAAATATTAATTCAATCAAAATTTTCTTTCATCTTCTAGATCAATTGATAAGTTGTCCATATCAACTTTTGATGGTCAGTGGGATTATCAAGGGGGCTGATAAATGCCTTGTGGGGATAGAGAATTAAAAAAGAAAACAATAAAATTGGTCATGTCAAAACTTGACTCATCAAAATTCCATAAGTGTTGCGTTGATAACTAAAGTATTATTATTACTCTTGAAGATAGATTTTTGCAATTAAAGTGATTAAATTTATTAATATTTCTCCAAAAAACCTTTTCTCCCACTTTCCATGTATTTCAGTTCATTTGAACATTTAATACTGAATTCTATTAATTATCAATTTTTTTGTGTACTCCGCATGATTTTCACAATGACACTAAAGGATTTTTCTTTTTCCTTTTCTTGCCCCACTTCATTTCAAGGTTGTTATTTACAAGAGGAAGGGATACAGAACAACAGTCTTACAGAATTTGATTTACAGTTTTGGTCATTAATGCATATGGAAACTGCATGTCTACCAAATTATTACTTATTTATTCTAAAATCCTGGGAGAAACTGAAAGATGAAAGGATTCAGTGAAGGAGTCAATGGTCCCAAAAACTTTGATGATTTCTGCTCAAGATATTTATATCCCTTTGGCAAACAGTCAATTACTTTGCTAAAGAAATCTTCCATAATGATTTAGTATATATTAATCAATATATTTTATCTTGAAACACACACACACACATATATATATATGTATGAAATGAGAACAAATTGAATATAAATTCAAATGTTCATGACGTTAATTTAAAATAGGGCTCAATCCAATCCAATAGTAGAGCAATATTCTTTATTACATGATATTACATTCAAACATGTAGGAACAATGCTACATAAATGCACTCATGTTTCAATGTGTATTGATACATATTGAAACATGAGTGCATTTATATAGCATTGTTCTTACAGGTTTCAATGTAATATCCTGTAATAATATATGTGTGTGTATATATATATATATATATATATATATATATATAGTGGTGGTCATTGTGGGTAGTCTATTTTGTCAGTTATTTTGCCGGAAGTGACTTATTTGTTTATTTATTTATTTTGGTTAGATTATTTTGCTTGTTTTTATATATTTTTATTTTTTATTTTTATTTCTTATCTTATATATTTATTTATTTATTTTTATTTTAACCGGTGTTTTATTAACGTAGCAAAAATTTCTTTGTATTGCTTATTTAATAGTTTCGTTTTGGTTTGGGAAGATAATTAAAGATATTTATTCAATTTTGGGGTTGATTGTTGTAGTTTATTCTAACTATTATTTTGGGGGGAGCAGTTTTTAATTTGTTTATTACTTCATTTATTTATTTGGATTGATTATCTTGTTTTTTCTAACAATTTATCGGGATTGGTTTGTTGGTTTATTTATTTGGATTAATTTAGATTAATTTATTTTACTTGTTTTTTATTATTTATTTATTATACTGTATATTTTTATTTACTCTTTTCGGTTTTCAATTTTTAAGTAATGTAGTATTCTTTTTAATCTTTTTTTATCATTATATAACAGTTATAGCTATGTTTTTTGTCCGATTTTTGGTTTGATTTTTATAGTCTAATATTTTGGCTATAAAGGTTTGTTAATTTGTTTATTATTTACTTTATTTATTTGGGTTCATTGATTTTGTTTTTTATTTTTTATTTATTTATTCTATTTCGTCTATTCTAATAAAACTACTGAATAAGCAATACAAACAAATTTTTACTACATTAATAAAACACCGATTAAAATAAATAAATAAATATATAAGATAAGAAATAAAATAAAAAATAAATAAAAACAAGCAAAATAATCTAACCGAAATAAATAAGTAAATAAATAAATAAACAAATAAGCAACTACCGCCAAAATAACTGCCAAAATAGACTACCCACAATGCACTACTGACCTGTACATATAAATAGCCGAGGAAAAAAAACAACACTCATGGCCTGACGATTATGTCTAGCATGAAACAGCCTGTTGCCTAAGTATTGACTTCAATGATCACTTTTTTATATATATATATATATATATATATATATATATATATATATATAATCCTGGGGATACTTACAACTTCTCAGCCTGACCCACTTTCCTGAGCAAAAAGAATTTTGTGAGATGGGCTTCTTGGTTGAGCTGATAACTAAGTTAATATAGGAAAGTAACTCTTAAACACATACATACATAATGAGTACATAACAATTTTGCATTACAATCAACTTAAAACAAATCTACCATTTCTTGGGATATATATATATATATATATATATATATATATATATATATATATATATATATATAGCTTATTTGTCAAAATGCTTCTTGTTCTTTTTTAATTTTCTGGACATATGCTTAAATTATCTTTACTTTATCCCTTTTTTTATTTAAATACATAATTGCCCAATTATCAAGAATTTTTTTTTATCACCATTGGTCTAATAAAATGTTGTCTTTTATATTTGAAATTATTTCAAAACATCAGAGAATATTTTTATTCTTCTGGATTTCTGAATAACTATTTTTGTGGTTTCTTCCTTTATTCAAAATTTAAAAGTCAGAAAGATTATCCACTATTTTATTTGATACTTTTATTTACTGACATTTTTTTGTAAGAGTATCTTTACATATTTGCCTTAAAACATATTTACATTTGAGCATGAACATTTATCTAAAAAAGCCAAGCATGTTTTTTCTTTGAAAATAATTCATTCATGTGGCATAATATTGAAGTTTGGGTTGATAAGTATAATGGTACATTGACTATTTTGCTTAGATAAATTTAATGGTAGATTGCCTTATATATTATCATAGGTATGTAGTTACTGTTTGTATTTTTAAGGAAAAAGAATATGCTCTGCTTTTTTTTAAAATTATTCATCAGAAATTCAGGGTCAAATATGAAAAATACAGTATAATGGGGAATTTACAATACATCAAAAGACTTTTTTCTTTTCTGTATTTAAAAGCATATAACTTGAGTATAAAATTGTATCTGTTGAAATTAATGAAAATGTTTTATTTTTGGATGCAGGTAAAGTACTACCTTGACAAGCAAAACCATCGGGTCGTCATGGCAAGTGTTTGCTCTAACGACAAAGAAGAGTTCTTACGAGTGAAGCCTCCAACTACCTCATCGGAGGGTGAGTATTTTAGTTTTGAAAAATTGTTGCTTATTCATTCAAGAATTTTTTTCACAAGAAAAAAAAAGGCAGTAAGTTAAATTTCCACAAAATGAACATTTCCATTTTCTATCTTTTTGAGAACTGTTGTTATTCAACAATGATTCTTTCAAACTTGCATCCTCATTTTGGTTGTTTTCTATCTCAATGTTTCGGCCTCTTTACCCTCAGGCCTTCCTCAGGTGTCTGTCATATCTGGTATCTTTCAAGGAATATTGAATATTCATCCAAGGTGGGTATATTATTCTCATTGTTTGATTTTTGTCTCATACAGCATCTTTCCTAGAAATTTCCAACTTGGTAATTACATTTTGCTTTGTATTTATTGCTTTCTCCAGTAAATAGATGCCCCCCCACCCACATTGCCTCATCCAAAGATTGAGCTCATAAGTTCCAGGGAATTAAACCAACTCTTTTTAGCCAGTGGAACACAACAAATCTAATGTCTTTAGTAGGAACAGTCATTTGGTTTCACCAGTCAGTTGATGTATACTTGGATTGCTTGAACCATGACTTCTATGAAATGAGACCAACTGCTATTGAATAACCAATATGAGGATGTAAATCTTTAAGGATCATTTTGAAATAATTTACAGTTAAAAATTTATGAGAGAGAGAGAGAGAGAGAGAGAGAGAGAGAGAATTTATTGAATGGTAAAAAAATATTTATATTTCAATATAAAGTTGCCAGGTACCTGACATTGACATCATGCCAATACAAAAAATTCTCTCTCTTTCCCTCATTCTCTCTCACTCTCTCTTTCTTTTTACCTTCTTTCTCAAAAGTCCATAAACAATTCATCCTTTCTTTTTCTTTATCAATCATCCTCTCTCTCATATCTGACTATTTCTTCCACATTCATCCTTGCCTAATACTTTCTCTCTCTCTCTCTCTCTCTCTATATATATATATATATATATATATATATATACACACACACACACACACACACACACACACACACACACACACACAGGTAGGTAGGTAAGTATGCATTTATTTCACAAGACCCTGTTTGGTCAAAATTCAATTCTTTGATGATGAGATTGAAGTGAATTCTCCTGAGTGCATGCTTGGGCAATGGTATATGGAGGCTGTGTGCTGCCCAGACTACATGCCCAACCTGCTCTCAGCTGTACAGAGCCCTTAGGGCATTATATTTGAGGCAGGAGATGCCAAAAAGCTGTCAGTGTAGACAGCCAACTACCTTCAGGGCTCTGCTCTAGGTTTTCTGTCTGGATTTACTTCCATAGCCTTATCCATGTTTAGATATGACTACAAGGCAGCAGTGATTTAAAATCAGGGTTTTCCTTCCCCTAGATTGGTTGCTTTCTTGATTTGTTGAACTCCCACTACCCAAAGAAGCTGGTTATGAGATGACAGTTTTCCACTTTCACCTATCCTCGGCCAAGTCACTGGACTTAGTGGTCAGAGGCTATATAGTATATGGAGTAATAAATGTTAAATATTCACATGTCTCTATTAACTTATAAAGATTTTAAGGAAAATTAATTAACATATACATTGTTGTATTTTGTGTAAACCCTGGGTCTCCATGCTACTACATAAAATGGTAACAGCAAAAAGGACCATTTCTTTTTCTCATTTATTTTATTAGGAGGGAGTGGTGGCAGCTTAGATTCTAAGAGGCAGAAAGAGGAATGACGTCACAGGAAAGCATGTTGCACATTGGTTCAGTGTCTCTCTGCAGTTGATCTTAGCCAATCACTTACCCGGGTATGAGAGGCATATCAACACTTTGGAATTTGCACTATTTTGAACTTATATCCAAAACCCAAAAAAAGGCAATCCATCATTGGCAGAATACCATGTTCATGAGCTACTCTGGCCAATCACTAACCATTCTGGCCCTGGCCTTCACTTTCTGTAACAATAAATAATTATTATATATATATATATATATATATATATATATATATATAGTAAAGTTGAATTTGTGTACAACTGCTGAGCCTTAATTTGGGGCCAAGAAATCATTTATTTATTGTATGTCATGTATATAAATTGAACATTTATTACATGTCCCATCTGCAGATTGATCTTTGCTTTTTGACCCAAAGAATCAGTCAGTTATATGTTTTATGTACAGGATGGTCTTTCAGTTAGAACTAAGCAATCATTCAGTTATTATATGCCTCATGTACAGATTAATGTTTGAGCCCAACCCAAAGAATATTTCATTCGCAATATGTATCTTTGGTTTGATTATTGATTTTGAGCCAAAGAATTATTCATGACACATATACAATTTGACTCTTGATTTGGGGCCAAGAAACCATCATTGATTATGTGCCATATGTATACATGAAGCCTTGATATTGAGCCAAGAAATCATTAATTTATCAACATACAAATCCTTGATTTTGAGCCAAGGCTTTGCTTATTTATTTTATATCTCAGGTACTTTCTGACACTTGATTTTGGACCAAAGAAACATTATATTTCCCATGCACAAGTATTTACACTATTTATCTTCTGGCTATTGTCCTCATCTTTGTTGTTGCTATCATGATATTTCAACCATTGTACCCTCTGACCATCACCAAATTCACAAACCAATGCTTTAATCCACTAGGCTATTGTCCCATGGGACAATTCTCTGTGGTAAACTTGGAGCCTTAAACCTAATCAGCTTGATGATTAGTGCTGTTGCTGCAATGTTTGACTGCTGCTGATAGAATATGAGAGTTGCAAATAAAGAAAGACAAATGACAGAAAATCTTCAACAGCAGCAAAAGCAGCAGCAGTCAAACTTAGTAGCATCAGCAGCACTAAGCAGCAGTCATGTTAGGTTTAAGGCTCCAAGTTTATCACAGAAATGTCCTACTGGACAATAGAGAGTTCAATCCTGGGGCCAGGCCATGTGTACTTAGATTCAGTGGAAATGGGTGAGCAATAACTGAGCAGTACTTAAAAGAAGATGATATATCCCTAGACATGGGCAGTAGTATGAAAAGAGTCTACTCCCATAGATTAAATAAAAGATTAAATAAAAGTTTCAGTTCAGTATTTCCTGTAGGCTATCAAGCTCCATATACTCCCAATGAAGGCCGGAGGGTACAATGGCCAAAACTTTGTGATAACAGCCACACTTCTAGCTTTTATTCAGGAGGAGACCTCAGAAGTGCATTCTTGAACAGGGAGATTAAAGACCACATTCCAGGTGACATCATGAAGGAAATCATGGAATGAGTCCCAGTCAGCTCTTTGATAACAGAAAGATGTTCTGTTGATAAGAGTTTCTTTGCTGGGGATGGAGTAGAAGGAGATAGTGACAGACACCACGGCATGATCAGAGTTGCCAAGAGGACAGAGCTGCATGGTACAAGACTCAGGGATGGAGGTGAAACAGGATCGAGAAGGGAAGCCTTACCATCATGGTTGTTGGGGAAACAGGGGAGAAAGTCAACCCCTTGTCTGAGGGATTGAGTAATTGAGAAGTTAAGGGTTTGTATGTCAGCAAGGTCAGTTATAGAATTTTTAAGCCACTTGGTATAGTGGGCGTTAAAGTCACCAAACATGAAATGGATGAAGAGAGATAGCTTTGTCTATATTGTTACAAATGCTTTCAAGTATACCACAGTCTTGGGAGGATGGAGAGCAATAAAAGAAGAAGACAGAGACACATGTATGAATGGTCCGGAGATCCAAGAGAGTTCTATAGCCAATGGGAGATATATATCCCTACATTTGTAGGTATATATATATTTATTAATATATACTTCTTAGCTCTGTCTAACTACATTGAGCACTGTTTAGTTTACACATTAAATTAAGTAAATATTTACTTAATATTTATTTGCCTGTGTATGCATGCTAACGCACACATATACAGTTACTAATATCTAATTATATGGTTTATATCCACACATATCTATCTCTCTCTTTCTCTCTCTCTCTCTCTCTCTATATATATATATATATATATATATATATATATATATATATATATATATATATTGGGAAAGGTATGAATCCATTTTTTCTTCCCACCCAGCTATGACTTAAGTAGCAGAGCAGAGTGAGCTCTTTAGCCTTGTTTGGCAACCATATATATATATATATATATATATATATGTGTGTGTGTGTGTATGTGTATGTATGTGTGTATGTATATATACAGATGTGTGTGTGTATGTGTATATGTGTATACTTATATGTGCATATGTACATGGATGTATATGTATATGGATATGCAGGTGATTTTATGTGTGTATATGTATATATATAAGTGTATGTGTAGATATGTATGTAGATATGTGGGTATGTGTTTCTCTGCAGGTGTATATGTGTAAATACAGGAATATACATATAGTTTTTCGTGTGGATGTGTGTGCAGGTGTATATAAGAACTCATAGGTATAGTGAGATATAAGTATGTGGATATAGATAGGGGTTCGGACATGTGTAGAAGTGTATATGAGTATGGATATATAAAAGATTGTAAAAGAAAGACCTAATTTTCTCCTAGTAATATTTTATCCAAATTTCTCCTCTAATATTCTCCAATTGGAAGTGAGTTTAAATAACATGGAGGTAAAGTTTAAATTGGTAATTTAATTTAAATTGAAATATACTACCCTTTAACAATTAGTATTGACGATGAAGTTATTTAAATTGAAAGAACCTTTGATAATTATGTAGGTATATTAAAAAAGTTACGAGTTTAATCGATGAACAAAACTGAAACGAATAGATGTCAACTCAAGTTTATTTAATTAATGAACAAAAATCAAACGAATAGATGTCAACTTAACAATCAATAAGATACGAGTTAATAAAAAAGATTACTAAATATAAAATGGATTACTTTTTCAATGTACTCTCTATGAGTTTTTCCAATCGACTGTTTCATAGAAAATACCCAAAACTCCAACGAACTTCAAATTAAATTCTTCGTAGATTGTTTAGACATTTAGATTTATATTCTACCATAACC